ATGCCAGGGAATTCAAGAACCTCGATTAATAAAATTAGTCTCACTTCGACCTTTTATCAGTCTTTGTAACACTTGTCGAGACTAATGTCCTTTTTGTAAAAAAAATTGCCGGTGACTCAAAGAATCGAGTTGAAACGATTGTGAGAAAATCGCACGATGTAATGCGTTTAACAAGCTCGGCAATTATCTCTCTTTTTTTTTTCTTTGTGCCATTATTCCCCATCGCGCACGATTCATTTATACGTCTCGCTACACTCGTTATTTCCCTCTCTAATCGCAATTCGTCACGACCGAGCGGAATATATATTTGTTTCAATTACACGCATTTGGCGCGACGCCCTTTGTACGCGCGTCGACTGACTTCGTCTTCGGACTTTAACGCATTTTCCGTTCACGTTATTCGTCTCAACGAGAGATACGTTCCAAATACTTTCCGACTACGCCAAACTTACGAAATTTCGACGTATATATCGCTACCTCTCAAAATCATACGTACGAGTCTCCGTAATAAATTATAAATGAGATTAATCGAACTTTAAAGCGCGCGATATTCCGTACTTGAATTCTATGTTTACATTAATCGCGCGATTGCTCGATATCGAATTTTTTTCTATCGAATATGCAGATGTTGTTGCGAGCAAATATCTTAACGAGATTTGTTATTTTTGAAACGCGTGACGCCCGCATTAATCTTGAAATGTTGCATGAAAATAATGCTAAATAACACAATCATAATTCTAAAAGATTAATATAATTAATGTAGACACAAATAGCACAAATAGAGATATCCCAGTACAAATCGTTGATGTTTGCATATTTATAAGCACAAACAGTATGCTAATATCTAAGCGAAATAATCATAATGCAAAATATGTATAAAGATCACGCAGATAAATATTCTGTATAAACAAGATCGTCGTTTCAAAATTCGCTAATTTCGTCATAAATATTCAAGACCGCGTCGATAATATAATTGACGGTCAAAGAAGTCTCCCGTTATATGTACACATATATACAATAACAATTTTTTTTTTCCTTCGCCTCGCCTGCGTTTTGTAGAAATACAAAACGTCATCCCCGTCCGCGTCGATGCTATTTTTAACCGCGGAGCTAAAATATGCACGCAGCCTCTATATGTGTATCAACACGCCAGCGAAGCACTTTGATATTGTATCGGCACATCTCTCCGAGGGTTAAGAGGGCCGTGCGAGGCAAGAGGGAAAGATAGAATGGCTCGTATATCAACAACAGCCGGACTTATTGGCCGCACGAACGGTAAGAATCATCATTCGGTCACGGCTGTTCGCGGTGACACGCAATCCCGCGTGCAGATTACGCGCTTTCCCCCCACCCCTCATCCCCCTCCCATGTCCATCCCTCCGCTCCTCTCACGTCACAAGCCGGTGTGTGTACGTGTATACGAGTCACCGAAGAGCCTCGCCTACGACTACTACGCGGAGCGAATGGAGGGAAAGGAGGGAAAGGAGAATAGACAAAGAGAGGAGATAGAGTAGAGTGCCACCGGGTATATGTGTGACCGGTACTTTTCCGTGACGGTTCCGATAGAGCGCGAGGACCGGCAGCGAAGAAGTTCTCTCTATCTTCGCGAGTGAGAAACGCGCGATGAAGCGAGCGAGACGAGGCGGGGAAGGGAGGGGGGAGGGAGATGAGAGACGCGCGAGGGGAAGAAAACGCGTGCGAGTCTCTCCCGTAAACCGACACATCGCATCACGCACGTAGGCGGCCCCGGCTTAGTCACCCTCGATCAGGGCCGTGCCACGCGCTCATGATTTATAGCGGGGTTTGTTTCCCTTAACGGCCGATTCCGTCTGGCGCGGAGAGTTTCTGGGTAAACGAAATTGCTCTCGAGTCGCGTTGCTTCCGCAAACGGAACCGCGATCGGTTTATATCCGCGCGAAAAGCAGGCCGTGGAAAGAGGCGAGAACGATAAATAACGAGAAGACCTAATGGATTTTGGTATAGAAACATGTGTCTTGTATACAAATTGAAGAATAAAATTTTTATTTTAGAGTAACGTGTAATAGATTTTTTTTATATATATATATATATCGATAGCGAAACAAACATTAGTTGCACTTTTGTCTCAAGTAGATATTTTACATATAGGTTTTCTAATTATATCTCTTTAAATTATACACGCATAAATAAAATAATTTCATAGAGAATATATTGTACAAGAGTGCAAGGTTCAAATAATAAAACATTCCTTTGCTTCTTTGAGTTTTTTTTATGATCGTTTTTTATGATCTTTAGATATTACACGCTCGACTGTAATATTAACTCTCAGCTTATTCGAATGAAATTTCACTATTCGTATCATTTATCTTGATCTGATAAAATTCAATCTCTTTAATCTGTAATCTAATCGAAGCACACTTTCTGCGTGCATTATTGAATGTCACTAATCTCTAAGTATTTAACTATAGAATACATATATTTTTACAATTATGCGCGTTTTTTTGTAAAATTGAAAATGTAACGTCTTACACGCAAATACATGAAATATCATACAAAAGGATGAAACATATATCTATAGCGTCATCGGAATAAATTTCTATTTACAGGCTGTTACTAACAGTTATGTGATTATACCAATAGAAGAACTATAAAAAAATATATTTATGATATGTTTCTGTTATTATTTCTTTCTATCTCGCTGAAATAAAATATTGTTCTCGATGACTCACGGTAAAAACGTACGTGCCTAAGCGGTGATCCAAATGAACGTTTCCTCTTTAACTGTCAACGATAATTTTATAATCACGTGAAAATTGAAATTTTCATCGGGAAGAAGTTGAAATCGAAAATAAATCTTATATCATATGTAATGTTTTACCGTATATAACGTTTTTCTCGGATATATATGTAAATATTAAATATCTACAACTGAATTATAATTTGTGTATACAGGATGTCTGAAAAAGAAGTATTTCGCGCGCGCTATATTTTCTTTCGTGCAATTTTTTAAAAAGACATTTTTTATTTCTCTGTCTCCTTTTATATTTATTTCTCTCCTATTTTTATAGATTACACTGTCAGATTTTTATTTGCGCGTGCATATTTAGCGATCGCAGTACGAGATTCGCGCACCAAAAAATGACACGTTTTTCAACACGCGTAACGATAAAACATACCACACGCGTTACACGCTCGTGCATAAATTTACGCGAGTATATTCGCACATCCCTGAAC